CTTTAAAGCAAAGATGGCGTGTCGGAGGAGACCCGTGTTAGGCAGAAACGGGAAGGTCCTTGTTCCGCTGTCCTGCTCAGTCAATGGCTGAGGCCAGCCTGAGAAGGAGTTAACTGTCAGCTGAAGGCTGGCAGCCAATCAGGTTCCCAGCAGCCAGCATGAGTCCTTTCTAGAAGGAGAATCTGAGCTGTTTTCTGCATCTCCACATCTGCATCTCACAAGGACTGTCTCTGCGGGAGGAAAGGGGGAAACCACAATTTTGAAAATAGGGAATTTATGCCTAAAAGGGACCCGAGAGGAAGTCATATTAGGCATTCCTTTTGGGGGATCTGTCCCTCTATATTGTAATTCATGCTACCCATAATTCCTCTGTGAATTTCTTGGTGTGATGGAATTGTGAAGAATAAAGAATGAGGCAGCTGGGGAAGTGTGGCCTTCCCCACCTTGTCCCTGCCCCAAAGCCTGCATCTCAGCATCCACATGGAAACCACAAGAAAGTTAGAATCCTGGAGTTCCCAGAAGTGACCAGCAGCTGAGAGTGCTGAAGCCCAAGATGGGGCCAACTGCTACCTGAAAATAGACTGGGAAACACCCAGCACCACCACCACCACCCATTCCTAATACAGCAGCAAAAAGCAATCCTGGGCGTAAGGGAAAAGAGAAGCTAATGCCTGTCTTATAAGAGTCTTTTGCCCACCACTGCACAGAGTTCCTGTAAAGGACCTGTACAAAGACTGGATGCATGAAACTAAATGGTGTTCATGAACAGTTGCCTAAATACAGGACAACCGGGGATAAAAATTGAAAAACCAGAAATTGAATAAGCTATACAACAGAGTTAGGAGATTCTAGATAGGTCAGTATCTCACAAAATAAATAAGCCATTGCATTTATATTTTTCTTAATTTGTTTTGTTTTGTCTTATGTAAACTTAACACCTAACATAGGGCTTAAACTCACACCCAAGATCAAGAGTCACATGCTCTGCAGACTGAGCCAGCCAGGCACCCCAAGCAAGCCATAGCATTTGAATAAGCAGAGACCATGTCAGTCTCTGTCACTGACAGATACGTTCACTGCTTTAGTTTTGGGTTTTGTTTTGGGGGTGCTTTTTTTAAGTAAATTAGTTGCCTACATTAAAAAATCAAAGAGTTCATATTAAAATAGAGATTTCTACCTTCTGTTTAAAAAATCCTAAGATCTGGCATCATGGGGCTGGCATCTTCGATGGCAAACATGGGCAGGAGTACACATCAAGCATACAGGCTGCGGGTCAGCAGGACCCAGCAGTCTCTACAGGCTCTCAGCCACTGGGGCCACGCTGTGTTGCCATTCTTATGAGCTTCTGACGTCAACCAAAGTTTAAACCGTTCTATGTACTAGGTAGAAGAGGGTAGGACGATAGGTAAATCCATCAGAACTGGTCAAACCTTTTTTTTTAAAAAAGATTTTATTTATTTATTTGAAAGAGAGAGAGAATGACAGAGAGCACATGAGAGGGGGGAGGGTCAGAGGGAGAAGCAGACTCCCTGCCGAGCAGGGAGCCCGATGCGGGACTCGATCCCGGGACTCCAGGATCATGACCTGAGCCAGATGCAGTCGCTTAACCAACTGAGCCACCCAGGCGCCCCTGGTCAAACCTTTTTTAAGGTAATTTGATCATAGCCCTCAATTGAAAGCATTTGACCCAGGGCACAAAAGTCTTTGCACCAAACACAAAAAATACATACACCCAAGCTTGTACACTGTAGCATTGTTTGAAATAGCAAAACACAGGAAGTGACTTAAATGTTCATCAGTAGGAAACTGGCTAAATAAATTATGGAATATCCACACAATAGAATACTGTACAGCTATTTTTAAAAGGGAGAGAAAAAAGTAGATCTATTGTGTACCACTCAGAACATTCTCTAAGAACATATTTTAAGAAATGAAGGAAATAAAGGAGAAAAAGGGAGAAAGAAAAGAAGCAAGCAGTTTGAAGGACAGTATGTATAGTGTTCTTCCATTCGTAGGAAACATTTTTAAGGGAAAAATGCATGTAATGCATAGGAAACTTCTAGAAGGATACACCAGACCAAGAGCTATATGGGGAGCAGGTAGAAGCAGTAGAGGGAAGAGTTACTTTTTTTTTTATTTTTCACTTTAAAACCTTCTGTCTCTTTTTAAAATCCTGAACATGTGTTATTTGTATAACTTAAAGACTAGATATTTAATGATTAAAATAACAGTGCTGAAAGTAAAATTTCAATTCAGAGAAAATTAATTTCTATGAGAACTGTCATTCCCCAACAATGTCAGAAAAACGAAGCATAGCTATTCAACATACACAGCAGGTCAGATTGTCATGACTCGTTCTGATTTCACATGTGGGGATAAAAATGCCTCACCAGATTAGAAAAATTCAATAAAATTTATAAAAAGCACCAAGCACTTGCCACACTTAATAAGTGGGCATTCAGCAAAGGTCACTGTTATCCCCCAGCCCTCCCACCCTGCCCAATCCTGACTCGTGTCAATGACCCATCTAGGATGATTATTGCAAAATGCGAAATTTAAATACCATCCCAGGTGAACATCAGCCCTCAAGGAAGATGGGAACGTCTTCCCAACAATGAAGGCATTTCCTCAGGACCTGCAGGTGGTACCACCTCCATACATACAAGAGCAATCCCATTGCCTATTACTGTTCCCCATTTCAAAGAGACTCCTACACACCCATGTATTTCCCCCAAAGATTTCCTATCCCCCCACCCCACCCCCAGCCCCAGCAAACCAGGCTGATGAAGAGTAGGAGCTAGACTCCCACACCCCTTTTCTTCCCGCTATCATTTCCTGTCCACAGACCCCTTCCCTAATGTGCCTTGTGCTCTCCCCAAAGAAATGGTGCAGGAGACCAAATATCAACCCTGACCAGACAAGGAGGGGCCATGTGATGTTCACCAAGCTCCCAGGTCAGAATTCTATTTTTTCAGAACACTTTGCTCTTTGAGGTGTGGTGTCCCTCTCCCTCCCACAACCTCAGCCCCTGGATCTGGCTGCCCACTTCTGGGCAGGAGATGAAGAGAGATCAGATCTGCCCTGGAGGCCTGTCCCTGTGAACCCAAAGCCCTGAGAACCCGAGCTCCCATCCTCCTACATACTGTCCCCACAGGCCCACAGGTGGAGAGCACTGGGAAGGGTTCCCACAGTGCATTAGCTCTGAACGGGGGAGGAGGAAGAAGAGTGTCATGCTATCCAGCCTCTGTTGTCAATAATTCATGAGGTTCAGACTGAGGGGCACCAGTGAGAGTCAGTTTTCCCTGGACATGGGGAAAATTAGACTCAAGCTCTCTTATCTCATCAGGATGTGCTGAGTACCAAAGCTGAGTACCACAGCTGTAGCTCCTTGGTTGAGAATATACTCTAAATCCAGTGCACGCCTGATAAATCACTTGCTACCCAGACATTCCCTTTTGAACACTGAAATACCTTTTTAGCTGCTCTGCAGAACTACACATATACTAAATGAATCTCTAGCAAGTATGAATTCTATTAAACAGCGATTCCCAGAACTGAATTTCATAGCCCAGGATTCTCTTTCCTCTAATTGTAAGGACTGACATAGAGTTGCCAGACTGGTGATTTCACCAACTAACACTTTTCTCAACCTACCCATCTGCTTTCATCAACTTTTCTTAACAAAAAGACTAACACACACACATACACACACACACAAAGGAGCAAAAGCATATCCCAAATAAAGAACTGTCAGGTTAAATAAGCTTAGCTTTATGAAACTCACTATATTGTCTTTCTCTGTCTCAGTTTGCCTGGAACAAGTGCAAACTTTGCCATAGATCAGCACCACTTCTCAGTCTGGCATTTGGAAGCCCCTGGGTTAAGCCAGTTCAGCCACTGACACTTGGGTCTGTTGGGGCCTTTCTACAGTGTCCCATAAGCCATCCAGATTTGTTAATTCTCCCAGAAACCCAGAAGGGAGATCATTTCAGCCTGCTCAGCAGAAGTGTAGGGTGAAGTCTTGGACACAGAATTTATAGCTCAAGAGGACTTTATTCATCATCTGCCCCAGCATCCTCTGTTTACAGATGAAGAGCCTGGCCTATAGCAACAATAATAGTAACTCTGTGGTGGCAATAATTACCATGTGTTTCGTAGTTGCCAGTTTATAAAGTGCTTTTACATTCTGTAAATATTTATTGAACCGGGATGGAGGCTAAGACCTGGGGACATGGTGATTATGGAGAATTGAGTACCCCTGAGTTTGTGTTTCCACCACTGGCTGGGAGACCCTCTCACCTCTTGCTACCACTTAGGCCCTGTACAATGGGGCAGTCCTCTTGGGGTGGAGCGTACCAGAAGTCTAGTCCAGTCAGGATCTTTTCCCCTGCACACTGGTTACCATAGTGATCAGAGTCTGCCCTCCAGGCCTGTGAGGACAGAGGAGACCCATGAGCCAGTGTGAAGGGCAGTGCCACACCCTAGCCCAGCTGCTCCTCCTCATCACATCTCTCTCCCAGGCTCCTCCACCCTCACCTGAGACCCTCACCTGGTGACTCCGCATGGACCATGGGCAATCTCAAAACATTTGCCCTCTTGTGAGCTATCACATACGTAGACCGAGACTTTCCTGGAGATGGAGGTCCATCTTGAAGTTCCGGGAAGGTAAAGCAACCAACTCAAAGCTCCCCCACCCCGGAAAAATAGCAGGATCAAGCGGCGGGACATTGCCGAGGGCGGGGAAGTCTGTGGGTTCCCGCAAAGGAGCGGGCCCTCGAGGACACCTGGGGGGACCGCCCAGTCCCATGCCGGCCAGGGCCCAGCCGAGGACAGCGGGGCGCGGCGGGCCGTGCGCCGGCAGGGGGCGCCCCGCGGCCACAGCCCGCTCGGGCTGCGAGGAGCCGGCGCCGGGCGGGGCTCGCTAGCCGCCCAGCGCCAGGGCGGGCGGGGAGCGGGGCGGAGATCTGGCAGCCGGGCGGGGGGCGGGGCGGGGAGGAGGCCAGTTCCTCGTTCCCGTCCTTCTCGGGTTATTACCACCCTCGAGTTTACGGCGAGACGGCGCCATGCGGAAGGCGGGGCTCTTGCCAGCCAGCTGCGCCCGGGCGTGGAGGTCTGTGCGGATGGCCAGCTCCGGGATGGCGCGCCGGGGCCAGCTCGCCAATAAGGTGGCTCTAGTCACGGCCTCCACCGACGGGTGAGTGCCGCGGCCGGAGGCTCTGAGGCCCCCGCTCTCTGGAACAGGTACTAACCCCATGACCTTTGCTTCTGGGCCGAGCCCTCCGACCTCACTGCCAGGCAGTCTGACTCCCGGAGAAAGGAACCACGTGGTCGGCCTGCCGCGCCTCGGAATCCTCTTGCCTTGGCCCCGCTTGCTGCCAGTCTCCTGTCACTGCTGCCCCTGGCTCAACTGCGCCACTTCAGTCTCCCAGGGCTCTGGGCTGACCAAGTCAAGCGGCCCCAGCTAGAGTCTGGGAAGACCAAACACCAAGAAATCCAAGACAGTCCAGATTTCAAAAATCCTATCCCACGGCCTCCATTGACTGTGGAGATGTTCCAGACACCCCATTTGGCGCCCCTTACCTGGACGGGACACAAGACCCATGTGTGCAGGTTTTTGGTTAGCTCAGTACATTTTGCCCTTGCCCGACCTGTTCTATCCGTTTCTCATCCCCACAGGACTTTGCTAGATGCCTGCACTACACAAATCTAAAGTACAAATGTATGCGAAATGCTAATGACTCACATCTGCCAAGTGTGGAACCCTTCCTCCCAGGGGCGTAATGTAAAAAAATGACATTTTTTACTAGAGACCCACCCTTTCACATGCACCCCCACACATAATTTAACAATTTTGAGAAGCTGTAGACCAGTAAGGGAAGTATCTGGGGACAGGGGCTCTTTCAAGTGAGACCCTCCAATCATGCAAGGGGCTGTTGCTACCCCTCTGGCTCATTTCTCTCCCCTCAGTCCCTACAGGATGTGGGGCATGTCACTGTGGGGATGCCTGTGGAAGGTAATGTCAGTTCCTGAGAACCTAGCCTGAGGGCCAAAACCCTAGGAAAAGTAAGTAAATGAGTGCTAAGAACACGCTAAGCACGTCCATCTGTATGGTAATGGCTCTTTTACACATAAAGCAGACAGGAGGTCCTACCGAGGGAGGCCGGGAATTCAGACCTGGGCATTCTGACTCCAGAGCCCATCTCTCAACCGTTTCCCCTGTACTGGCATTGACGGGCATCTCTCTCTGCCGCAGGATCGGCTTCGCCATCGCCCGGCGCCTGGCCCGGGACGGGGCCCACGTGGTCATCAGCAGTCGGAAGCAGCAGAACGTGGACCGGGCAGTGGCCGCGCTGCAGGGGGAGGGGCTGAGCGTGGCAGGCACCGTGTGCCACGTGGGGAAGGCCGAGGACCGGAAGCGGCTGGTGGCCACGGTGAGCAACAAGGGTATGGGCACAGAGCCAGGAGGTGGCGGAAGGGAGTCAGCCTGAGCCTCCTTCCCTGCTTTCCTAGACAACACTGATGTGATGCGAGCCAGCACTATTAACTAAAACATGACCGGACGTTCTGCATACCAATCCACCAACACATTTTTATTGTGTGCCTTTCTATGATATCTCTGAGAATCATCCCATCCCAGTCAGAGAATCAAAAACCACTCTAATGCTTCAACCCTGCATCATCCCTTGGGTCACCCAGGACAACAGCTGGCCCTGGTTCTCCAGTAGTTTCCAATCTAATTGGGCAGATGAGAAAGGTTAATACAATTGCAAAATAGATGTCTCCACCCACGGGCTAATAATCAATCCCCTGTTCTTTAGCTTGTAGAGTCAAGTCCCTGGGAACCTCTTATGGGAGGGAGCCCACCATGTTTCAGCCACCTACTGTGTGTCATTCACTTTGTCCAGAGCCTTCCCTGGTTATCTCTAAACCTGACAACAATCCAAGCAAGGCAAGAACTATTCTCCCAGTTTCAGAACATTCAGAACATTCTGCTCTGAAAGCTGGAGCAACATCCTGAGTCCCGCAGCCAGTTAGAAAGAGCTGTGAGTCAATCCAGACCTGCCAAGCTGACTACAGACAACCAGGCATTTCTCCATTAGCATCGGATCAGGCCTTTCATGCCCACTTGGATGTTAGTCTCAAAGAAAGTGTCAAAGCCAGTGTAGGGTTGGTACTTGGCACCAGCCTTCCAGCGACACAAGAAAACATGAATATCTGGCAAAGGAGGCTGCTCTTCCCTCAGGCTCGGGACACCCACTTTATTCCCTGGAGTAGAAGGGAGACTCTACCCTAAATGGAAAGTATAACTGACTGGAAGGCTGGCAGAAATAATTTCGTAATCATAGAAGAGGGGTCCCTTAAACAATGGTAAATGGTGGTATGATAGGATAAAGTCATTCCATTTTTAGGGAGCCATTTGGCAGATGCCCAACTATGCACTAGAGAAAGCCAGATGTACGTCCAAGAAAGTCACCTTGGGGCACCTGGATGGCTCAGCCGGTTAAGCACCCAGCTCCTGATTTCAGCTCAGGTCATGATCTTGGGGTCCTGAGATCGAGGGCTCTGCGCTGAGCGTGGAACCTGCTTAAGATTCTCTCTCTCTCCCTCTCCCTCTCCCTCTGCCCCTCCCCACCTCCTCTAAAATAAATAAATAAACATTAAAAAAAAGAGAGGGAGGGAGGAAGGGAGGAAGGAAGGAAGGAAGGAAAGAAAGAAAAGAAAGAAAGAAAGTCACCTTGTCTGAGATTGGGACCTTGATCCTGAGGGTGAAGAGAGCCATCTGGGATCCGGGGCCAATTGCTGACTAGCCATATGAAATGTGCCTAGCAACTTAATGTCAAAATCCTGCCGGGGAAACAACCTCTCACCCCTACCAGGTCCACTTACCCTGAACTACAGCCCTGGCTCAGAGGTGGGGCTTGAGCTAGACCTCCAGGAGGGGGTGAGACTGGGCAGATGGAGGAGGGACAGGGTTCCAGATGACCCTGCAAAATGAGCAGCCAGCCAAGGAGGGACCGACGGGGAGAGTGGAGCACTGTGAATTCACAGCAGAGAGCACAGATTTGGGAGTGCCACTGGAAAATGGCCTGGTGGGAAGGGTAAGGGACAGGGGCTCCATAGCCTCCCAGAGAAGTTTAGATGTTCTTGGAGGAAGTAAGCAACGTGAGGTTTTGAGCAAGATGAAAATGGATATATTTGAAAAAGATAATCTGGCACCAGTAAGCAGATATATTAGAGTAGAAAAGACTCTGAGCCAAGGATGTTAGCAAGGAAGCTGTGGCTGTCGTTCAGGTCTAGAGCAATGGCAATGGGACCAGAAGGGATATACCCAGGAGACATTGAGTGAGAACCCAGCAAGATTTTTTTCTTCCTCACCCAGTGTCAAGAAATGGGAAATAGGAGCGATGAGTCAAAAACAATTCTCAGGGGCGCCTGGGTGGCCCAGTCGTTAAGCATCTGCCTTTGGCTCAGGTCATGATCCTGGGGTCTTAGGATCGAGTCCCACATCGGGCTCCTTGCTCAGCGGGGAGTCTGCTTCTCCCTCTGCCTCTGCCTCTCCCCCTGCTTGTGCTCTCTCTCTCTCTCTCTCTCATGCTCTCTCTCTCAAATAAATAAAATCTTTAAAAACACACACACAGGGGCGCCTGGGTGGCTCAATCGGTTAAGCGTCTGCCTCTGGCTCGTCATAATCCCAGGGTCCTGGGATCGAGTCCCGCATCAGGCTCCCTGCTCAGTGGGGAGTCTGCTTCCCCCTCTGCCTGCCGCTCCCCCTGCTTGTGCACACACTCTCCCTCTCCCTATGACAAATAAATACAATCTTAAAACACACACACACACACACACACACACACAACCCTCAAATAATCTGTATGGCCAGTGTCAGGATGGAAAATGACTGGAGAGGGTACTTATTAGCTATCGGCAATGGGCTCTGCCTATTGTCAGCTGTTACCCTACAATGGGGAAAGCTGCTCCTTAAGAAGGATTACTATCCGGGGCGCCTGGCTGACTCAGTCAGTTAAGCGGCCGACTCTTGATTTCTGCTCAGGTCATGGCCTCAGGGTCATGAGAATGAGCCCCAACTGGGGCTCTGAGCTGATTGAGGAGTCTGCTTAAGATTCTCTCTCTCCCTGGGAATATAATGCTAAGCAAAATAAGCCAGTCAGATAAAGACAAATATCATATGATTTCTCTCATATGTGGAATTTAAGAAACAAACAAAGGGGAATAAAAAAGAGGTGAAACAAAACACAGACTCTTAACTATGGAGAACAGAGGGTTACCAAATGGGAGGTGGGTTGGGGGGATGCGTGAAATAGGTAAAGGGGATTAAGAATACATTTATCTTGATGAGAAGCACTGAGAAATGTATGGGATTATTGAATTACTATATTGTACACCTGAATTAAAATTTACAAACTTAATAAGAAAAAAAAAAAAGATTCTCTCTCCCCCTTTGCCCGCCCCCCCGAAGCACACGCACTTGCTCTCTCTCTCTCTCAAAAAATAAGTAAATAAAAAGAATGGTTACTATCCAGTGGCTTCCTAATCTGCGCTGCAAAGCTTCTCAAAGGCGTAGGGGAGCAGAATCCAGATCAGCCACTTCTCCACTTGACTATACTTTTTCTAAAAAAATATACCTATCAGAAAACAGAGCACCCAACTCCTAACCTCTTTAGTGTAGTGAGCACACAATTTAGGGCAGGCTTAGGAGACACCTGGGCGGTCATAGTGCCTTTCTCATGAATCTTCTATGGTTCCCTGTTCAGTCAAAACCTAGACTTCTCCCCTCTCTGAGCTGCTAGGCTCCCTGCCCCCCAACCACACACCTGCAGAGCACAGCACCCATCCCTTTCTTTTTTTTTTTTTTTTTAAGACTATTTATTTGACAGAGAGAGACAGTGAGAGAGGGAACATAAGCAGGGGGAGCTGGAGAGGGAGAAACAGGCTCCCTGCTGAGCAGGGAACCCAATGTGGGTCTTGATCCCAGGATGCTGGGATCGTGACCTGAGCTGAAGGCAGATGTTTAATGACTGAGCCACCCAGGTGCCCTGCACCCATCCCTTTCTAGCTTATAGTGCACTTCGCTCGTCACAAGTCCATAGGCGAGACTTACACGGAGCCAAGGCAGGTGACTGGCGCTTTGTGCCAGGACACCAAAACTTAGCACCAGACAGTATCGATACCGTTTTAAAAGCTTATGTGATTTTTAAATTTTGTTAAATTTACATGTTGACAGCCCAAGCCATTCCTTCAGCAGTGTGGAAGCAACTGAACTTAGCACCTAGTTAGCAAGAATAATTAGTTAAAACGGGAGCTAGCAGATGGCACACATTGTTAATAACACCCCTCTGTGCGCCAAATCATGAAGCACAAAGTTGATCAAGGGCCCGTTTAGTGCTGCTCGCCCAAAGCATCAGAATTGCCTGTTCTGGGCAAATGCATAGTCTGGTTTCAGAGTCACGTACTGTTGGCAGATTCCGTTTGGTCACTCATTACGCTGGCATATGCCTTCGCCGTCTACTTTCAATTTATTAGCAAGGTGAGATGTTGCCTTTCTTGGCTTCCCCAGTTTAAATCTCGGTTTCTGCCTTGAATCTTCCATGCCTCCAAGCCACAAAAGGGGGAGGGGAGAGAAAATGACATCATAACTGAATGGGAAACCGCTTTAAGCCCAGGCTGGTGTCTTCCCTACCGTGGCCCCTGGGTAACCAGTTTCATAGTGACCCCAACTCACTTTCAGAGGACTCTGAAGGATTAGCTCTGCGGTAGAAGGGAGACCGGTCTCAGATCTGCCACCACTAACTAACTAGCTTTGTGCCCTGAGCAGATTACTTGGCCTCTCCCAAAGACCCAGTGAGCAGGCTTCCTCCTGTTCCTTAGCCAGCCCCCGTATGTCATTACTGAGAAATCCACGGAACTCAGTTTCGGCCCCTGTGCCATGAGGACATTGGGCTTGGTGATCTAAAGGTCCCTCCCAGTGGTGACATTCTGTTGGTCTATCTAAAACAGTTTCTTGGGGTGCCTGGGTGGCTTAGTCGGTTACGCGTCTGCCTGCGCTCAGGTCATGATCTCAGGGTCCTGGGATCGAGCCTCGTGATGGGCTCCCTGCTCGGTGGGGAGTCTGCTTCTCCCTTGCCCTCTGCCCATAGCCGCCCCCCCGCCCACTCATGCTTGGGCACATGTGCACTCTCACTCTCCCTCAAATAAATAAATAAAATCTTTACCAAAATATAAGTATAAATAAATAAAATAAACAGTTTCTCCATTCAGGTAGGTGTGGACAGATTGAGTTTGAGATCATGCTAACTCAGTCAAGGAGAACTGGAAAGTAAGCACTTGGGCAAATGGGGCTGGGACTCAGTGCTAAAAGTGAAAGGGTCTGGAAATGGATTTTGAGGTGGGACCTGAAGCCATGAGAATAGAGGAGCTCCCCCAAAGGGAAAGTGTAAAGAGTAAAAGGTCAGCAACAGCCCTAGGAGCAGGGTGGGGGCAGGAAGAAAAGCCTGCAAAAGAAACTAGACCCAAAATGTTTAGCAGCAGAACTTAGGGTAGCTGGGGAGAGAGATGTTTCAAGAAAAAGAGATGTCATTTTGACATCATTTTGTTCCTAAGAAGGAATTCTTTATCCACATTGATAAATGCACCTCCCTTACTGACCTGCAGTCCTAATTCAGACCTTACTCCTCTCTCTAGGCCGTGAACCTTCACGGGGGCATTGACATCCTGGTCTCCAATGCTGCCGTCAACCCTTTCTTTGGAAACCTAATGGATGTCACCGAGGAGGTGTGGGACAAGGTGAGAGGGGATTAAAGGAGCAGGGGACAGGCCTCAGAAAATGGCCAGAACAAACTCAGGCTGCTTTTAGAAAACGTTTGTCAAGTGCCATGGAAATGTGAGGAATCCTTGTGATCTGCACACACCTGGAGTGCACCTGGTAGAGGGCAGGTGGGGGGTGGCTTCCTCTTTCCTTGCCCCCATTTCATTTCTGCTTCTTCCCAGTTTGGCTCTTCCATTTGCTCCTGGCTAGCCTTCTTCTGCTTCACTCTCCAGCTCTCTCCCCCACGTACTCATCCAGGCTCTTCTTCGGGTGTACTTCCAGCAGAGACATGGCAGCTATCTGCTAATAGCTAATATGCTTAAGCCTACACAACCTCCATCCCCTTTTCAGCGGCCAAAAAAGAATGATTTCACATTAGCTGGAAAACTTTAATAGCTGCTAGTTAAGCGAAATGACCTAAGTTACCGCTTTATAACTTACAACCTTTGAAAAAGACCCGTGCTCTTTTCTTCTTAACTGCAATGTCAAGGAAATCTGAGATCCAGATGTCTAAATTCAAGTGTGGAATACTGGGTTTTATGTGAGCATGCATAATTACATTTATGATACATTTCACACACCTACAGTTTTTAATTATGAAGCCTTAATTAAAATATTTGTCTTTGTTTATTAAGGTTAATATTCCCACATGATTTGGAAATGCTAAATTTTTTATGATCTCCCCTGGTTTGGCTTTTCACTCTGATGTCATCAATAACTTCTCAGCACTGAAGTTTAAGGATACTAAAATATTATAGTTTGTTTATCAGTGTTTCACAGACATAAAGACCAAAGTGCCAAATGTGCCTAAATGAGTCAGTTCCTGATCGATATTCTTTAAAGTAGAGAAACATCTTTCATGAGCAGTCTGAATAAAGACCCCATGAAAATCAGTTTTAAACCAAGTGATTTTTCTTTTTAATTTGCATTTTTTAAAATGTCACAGTACATCAAATATAAATTCAATGGCTGATCCTTGATTAAACTCTGGATTTTTTAAAATAAGGACATGTGGGGAGACAATTGGGGAAATTTTGTTAGGGACAGCCTATTAGGTAAAATCATTATTACCGATGTTAAATTTCTTGGTGTGATAATGGATGGAGGTGTGTAAGAATGTCCTTATACTTTGGAAAAAATGCTGAAGTTCTACTGATAGAACATTGTAATGACTATTCAGGAAAAAAACTATACAGATACATAGATAGGACACATGGGGGAACATGTGAACAATTGGTGAATCCAGGTAAACGATATCTGGATATTCATCGTACTTCTATTGCAACTTTTCTGTAAGATTAAAAATTTAAAAATAATAAGTCGGCATGGGGGGGCACGGAAGAGGAATATCCCAGCAGTGCCTAGAACAATGTAAACGAGGGTCATGCATTTGTTTTAAATGACGGATATGGGGGTTTGACTGGAGACTATGTCCCAGCTCCCCCCAAAGTGCCCCTTCATGATCCCACTTTCCAATAAATGGCCAGCCAAGACAGTCCATCCTGGAGGGCCAAAAGCATCTGACTCCTTAAGCTCAGAAGCCAGAGAAATGTTGGAACCAGCCCAGTGCCCGAGGTCAGGCCACGTTTTCTTGAGCAGCACGGCCCACTCTGGGGTGGGTCCAGGAGACCAGCCCAATTCCAAGTTCTCCCTAGTTGGAAGAAACACAGAAAATCCAGCTCAAATCCAAAGCGGCCCTGCTAATATAGGCCAAATCATGCTCAGCTGGTTAGGATACAAGAAGGACCAGGGTCCTTTCTTTCTCACCCGAGCCTAATGTGTCATTCTCTAGCTGAATAAGCTGGTGAAAGGGGCTTCTCCCTGGGCCTCGGCTTCTGCACTTGTCAGGTCCAGGTAAACCATCTCTGAGATCTGCACCAGGGCCCAACAAACATCCCAGGAACCCCACTGGGAGTCCTCATTGCCCTGCCCTCTCCAGCCCTTCCCTCATGCTCTTTCTCCTTCTCTCTCGGTTTCAGATTCTGGACATTAACGTGAAGGCCACAGCCCTCATGACAAAAGCAGTGGTGCCAGAGATGGAGAAACGAGGGTACAGACAGACAGTGAGAGGGAGCCTGGGTGCGGTGGACCTCATGTGGGCTGAGGGCCAGGGTTCCCTCTGGGAAGAGGGTCACGCTCTTCTTTTTCCAGGGGCGGCTCAGTGGTGATTGTGGCCTCCATAGGAGCCTACGTTCCGTTTCCTGTAAGAGCCCCCTTCTTTGCTACTTCCCTTCCGCCCCCCATCCTACATTTTTCCACTCCCCCAGCCACCCTAAGAAGTGTGTGTCCCCTTTTGGAATCACAGCACCAAGCCCCTTCCCACAAAATAGATGCCTTGCCTCCACAAACCCTAACCTAGGGGTGGTTCACCCACAAGACAGTTTTCTAGCTGGGACCCTCCCTTGGAGGAGATGCCCTATTATTCGACCGCCCTTTATGCCTTACGATAAGAACCAAGAATGAACTGGAAGCAAAGACACTAACCCACTATCTCCTCTCCAGGGCCTGGGCCCCTACAATGTAAGTAAAACCGCCTTGCTGGGCCTCACCAAGAACCTGGCCAGAGAGCTGGACCAAAGGAACATTAGGGTGAACTGCCTGGCACCAGGACTCATTAAGACTAGCTTCAGCCAAGTGGTGAGGACTGCAGGGACCCCAAAGGGGCATCTTCTTAGACGGCGAAGCCCAGTATCTTCCGGCCCCCCCTCCCTGGGCTTTTCGACATTCCCCCCGATACCAGCCACCTGTTCACATCAGACCCCACAGGCACCTTTCTTGAGGTGTGCTGTGGAGACAGGAATTCAGACTCTGCTCACATGGTTCCATATCCTTAAGGGGATGAGGACTGGGGAGACCCAGCAACAACCTCACTAGCACCTGCAAAGAATGAAACGGAAGAGGGCTGTGGGGAGCCACTGGGAGCCGAGGAGGACTGGGAAGCGGAAGGGGCTTCTCTCCAGCCTTCCTCTCAGTTGACACGAGGGCAGCCCTTTCTCCCCCTCCGGCCCTCTGTCTCCTCTTCTGCCACATAAAGAGACGCCCCTTTTTCCTGCAGTTGTGGATGGACAAGGCAAGAGAGGAGAGCATCAAAGAAACCATGCAGATAAGAAGGTAAGGCTGTCACAGGGGAAGGTTGGGAAGTACAAGAACGAGAGGTTGGGTCCGTCCCACAGCCCGCGGCTCACTGTCTTTTGGTCCAACAGACAACACGAGCGTGCTCTGTCCCCCCGCAAACACACACTTCACAAGTCCCTGCACACTACATCGCCGCACTGGCACGTGCGAGGGGTCCACTTCCGTTGCAAAAAGCAAACACAGAGCCTCCGGGTTTCAGCAGAGCACTGCCCTGGGAGAAGCCCTGACTCCTCTTTCCACCTGGTTGTGGCCTCCACCTCTGGGGATCCCTAGTGCCCGGGGACCAAGACCAAAACCAAAACCATGAATAAAATGCCATGTTTCCGAAGCTCAGACTGATGATCCTACAATCCAAATAAAAGGAATGAAGAGCTTCACTAAGCCCCGAAACTCCCCTTGCTAAGAAAACTCACCACCTCTTCCCCATAGGGCTAGCCAGACCTTTCAGGCCACTTTGTCTGGCTCCTTTTCTTCTAACTTTCCTGCCTCTCTCCAGCTTTTGGTTTCTCTGTCTTGTCCCCTCAAGGACACATTCCAGCAATGCCTACTCTTTACTGGCCCAGACACTCCAGACCCCCTCAGGTGCACCCCAAGCTGTTTGATGTCAGGCATGAGCTGCACACCTAGTTCACAACTCACTCACAAGTCAGGGTATTGTCATCCTGGGGCCCCGGTGAATGTCTCCACCTATGCTTCTTGGTCTTGAATGTGCATTAGAATCAGCTGGGCACTTGTGAAACTGCAGATGCTCAGGCTCTACTCCCAAAGATTCTTTTTCAATTGGTCCAGGGTAGGACCTAGGCATCTTTTTTGGTGGGATGGAGGGGGGGCAGTGAGTGGGGAGAGGATGGAGATGATTACAGTGTGCAGCTAGGATGGAGAACCACACTACTGTAGGTCTTCTAGGTTTGAGGTGCCCACTCTACCCACCTCTAGAGCATTCTATGGCAGTTAAGGTTACACCGTTCCCTAACTATGCAATCACTGATACAAACACTGAGAATTAGCACATTCTCCCAAAATGAACCTGACTTTAAGGGACAAAAACAGATTCCTGAAAAAGTTGTCTGTGAGTTGAAGCTATACAAATGCAACCATTTAAAACCGCTTACTGTCTCACAGACTCCCTGACACTTGAACAGTATACACATGTGCGAAACAAAATTGCTGCTCACCGGTTTATCTGTATGACTTTGGACTTTGCTGTCCTGAGTTGTCTAAAAAACAGAATGTCTCTGTATTATTTGAATATAATGTGTGGTGGGTTTTGCAGGATGCAGTATTTATTATCACAGCTTATCTTCATGCTAACTCCGTTTGATTGACAGAAAACTTGTAAGCTGGTCTTAATAAATCACCTGATATTTTTTGATTAAGCAAATTCATTCCCTGTGGGCCAGGTCGGGGGGTCTGACTGATGTTTTACTCCCTTCCTTGTTGCCCCTCTTCCCCAGGATAGGCAAGCCAGATGACTGTGCAGGTATTGTGTCTTTCCTGTGCTCTGAAGACGCCAGCTACATCACTGGGGAGACAGTGGTAGTGGGTGGAGGGTCCCCATCCCGCCTCTGAGGACCGGGAGAGACCTCACCAGGGCAGAGACTGGGCTCCAATTCCTGCACTCATCGACTAGCCTTTCCCACCTCTGCCTGATATACTGCTCACCTTACACCCCAGCCCACCCCCCAAATCAGTTCTGCCCTGTGAAAAGATCCAGCCTTCCCTGTGGTCAAGGTATGGTCTTATGATTCCCGCTGTTGCTGTAGCCTTGGATAAAGACTTCCCCTGAGAGCAAAGGGCAGGCCTGCTGATAAAGCTGAGTCTACCTTGGCAAAAACCAACTAATATTTTTTCCCCCCTGGACATGGAGGAATTTGAGGGAGATGGGACTGAAGGAACCCGGGTGGAAAGAGCAGGGCAGAAAATCAACAACTTGCAAAGAGAGATGCAAATAAAATGCGGATGATCATGTTGCTTTGAATTGGTGTGTTCATTTTTCATTGTGGGGTACATAGGTGTGGTAGCCAAGCAGCGATTCTTTGTGGACTACATCTCTACATCCCCCTAATCCTCCTCCCTGTCTCCAGGACCTAAGCTTGTTGCTCAGGGGTGGATGTGTCTGCAGAACTGCCAGCTGGGAGGAGGTGGCACGGGAACTCCCGGGTGTTACTCTGGGCCTCACACCCGTGGGGTTGGTGCCAAGGACGCTGCAGGGATCCCCGGGGGTGGGCAAGCGGGAGGAAGAATGAACACCCCCCAGATCTGGCCAGCTCCTCTCCTGGCATCGCCCTCGGCCCTGAGTTCCCTCGCGGGTAGGAGCTGGACGCGTCCCAAGCAATAGGGCAAAAGGGAGGGGCCTTGCAAGGATGACCCGGGGAGGGCTACCCAGGCCCACAAATGAAAGAAATGGGTTCTGCTCACGGTGCCCGAAGAGTGGATGGCACGGAAAGTGGACGCCACCCCCGCCCGGGAGACAGCCCAGGCTCCAGGCGACACGCACAGGGCGTCGCACGCGGGAACGGGCGGGAGCGGTGGGCGCGAGCGCGCGCGGGGTCTCACGCAGCTCGGAGGCGCGGCGCGCATGCTCAGTCCCGCACCTCTCCGGGCGGGGCGGGAGACCCGGACTCCTAGGCTTGGGCGGGGGGGGGGGGGAGGAGCGCTCGCGCAGCCGCCCCTGACAGGAGCGGGCTCCGCGGCTGCTGCAGCGCTCAGCGCTCGGGCCCTACCGGAGCCAGGTCTAGCATGTGCCGCGGCTCCCCGGCGGCGGCGGCTCCTCTGCAGCAACGGCAGCAGCAGCGGCCGCCATGGCCAAGCCCAGCGCGGAGCTCACCCGCGAGCTGCAAGGTATGAGGCTGCGGTGGTCTCCGGGACGCCCCGTCCCGGAGCATCCCAGACCCAGTGCGTTCCTCCCCGCGGTGCCTCCCCCTCTCCCCGCGCCCCATGCGTTCCGACTCCAAGGCAGCCCCCTGCCCCTGCATCCTAGCTCGGGGCATCGCTGTCCCCGCAGCATCCTCCACTACCCGCCTCGCCTCACCCTGTCAGGACCTTCCAGTCCCAGAGCCGCCCGTCCCGATCTTCGGTGACAGGTGCAGTCCCCTGGCGCTCCCTGGGGCTGACGCTCACTGATCCTAGCCCATCCCTCGGTGAGGTGTCCAGTCTCTCCTCCAGAGAGTCCCCGCTTCCCCGCCGGGCGGGGCCCGGCCCGGCCCGCCCCGCCGGGCCAAGGGAGCTGCCCCTGGTCCTGACCGCCTCTTGGCTCAGTACCCTCCCTCCTCCCGGCCCCGCCCCGGAACTGGCCCTGGGAGCCCCTCTGGCAGCCCGGCAGCTCCCAGGCCAGTGGGGCAAAGAAGGGAGTCAGGGAAGAGGGCCCGGATTGGAGCTAAAACCAAGAGCAGGGTCTCTGCAGCTCGCCTCCCGGAGGCCCCGTCTTAGCCTGCCCCTTCTCCCTACTCATACCCACACCTCAAGGTCTCTCCTGTTTGCAGGGTTCTCAGACTCAGCCCACACCAAGGCCCGAGCCCCCAGCACTACCATAACCCTCTCTCGCCCCCTGCCCCAGGCCGGGGAGTGCAGGCTAGCCCACGCAGAAACCAGGACGCTCAAGGATACTCAGAGGCATGCTGCACCGTGGCAGTTTCCCATACCTACACACACACACACACACACACACAATCATCAGATGTGTGTGTACACACATCTTTAAAGAAACTGCACCCCCACCACACACACACACACACACACACACACAACACACACTGGGATATCTGGATGGTTTTGCTAGGAAATGGGTATTGAGCTCTTGTAAACACTTAACTCCTCACCACCACCCCCACCCCACCCCACTCCCCACCCCCAACCCCCCCCCCACCCCCGCAGCAGAGCTGTCTTTCACAACTACAAGCACAGCACACTCATTCACCTATCCACCCCTGCCAAGGCCACGCTCGGGCTCCCTGGTGTCCTCAGAAGGCAGGCACACATGCATAGTAAAAGGCAGATGCTCACACCCAGACCACCCAGAATATAGTCAAAGGGACACCCCCACGCCCCCACACACTGACTCACTATGTATGTGTCAATGGCTGCTGGAGTGCATGGGTTGGAAAAATCCTTCACACCCTCAGAAGTGTAAGACACACCCTCCCACAGACAGTGTCACTCAGCAACTGTCCCCTGACTCAGGAACATCAGGAGCCAGAGTTTTCTCCACACCCCCCCTCCTCTCTGATAGGAAGAGAAAAGCCACCCAAGAAGGAAAGCTCTCTCTCCCTGTTTATTTCTCCTCTCATCTGACCCCACTCCTGGAGAGCCCTGGGGAGGTGGGGGTGGCCAGGGTAAGGGGAGCTCTGAGCAGGCCCCCCACCCACCCACAGACAGCATCAGGAGGTGCCTAAGCCAAGGGGCTGTGCTCCAACAACATCGGGTGAAGCTGGAGACAAAGCCCAAGAAGTTTGAGGATCGAGTCCTGGTGAGGGCCCTGGGCTTGGGCCGGGGGGGGGGGGGGGGGCAGGCAGAGGGGGTATAATCAGGGGCAGCTGGGCTGCTGAGAACAAGGAGACTGGGAGGCAGGGGAGACTGGGCATGGTGGCGACGCAGAGGAGATGAAGTCTGGGGAAAGGGGCAGGCTGGACTGGGTGGATGTCCAGGAGCCTGGGGTGGGGCATGGGAGACAGGGAGGACCCGAAAGCAGGGGGCCACTGCTGACAGGGGTTGCACACAGGCTGAGGGGACTGAGGGGGGACAGGAGGTCTAGGCCCCAGGAGCCACCATTTGCTGCTGATGTTCTTTTCCTCTCTCCGAAGGCCCTGACCTCCTGGCGCCTCCACATTTTCCCCCTTAAAGTCCCAGCCAAGGTGAGTCGGGCTGAGGAGCAGGGGTGCACCTGGCACGCTCCCTCCAGAATCAGGCAGCCAGGCCCTAACCTCAAGATGAGCATCCCCGTGTCCCACCCCCCCCACAGGTGGAGAGCTCCTTCAACGTCCTAGAAATCCGCGCCTTCAACACACTCAGTCAGAACCAGGTGAGTGGCATGACTTGGGCCCTGCTCTTGGGCTAGCAGGAGGAAGGAGTTGATATCTGAGGCCGTGGTGCTCCCTTTCCTCCAGATCCTAGTGGAGACTGAGCGTGGCGTGGTGAGCATGCGGCTGCCATCGGCTGAGAGCGTAGACCAGGTGACTCGACATGTGAGCTCTGCCCTCTCCAAGGTCTGCCCTGGCCCCGGGTGAGTGGCAAAGGAGGAGTCTCTCAAAGGGTTAGACAACAAGGATACTTCTCCCTCCTTCCCTCCTTCCCCTGGCCCTGGGCTCCTGGAACACTGAGGGGAAGAGCCCTGATGTCCCCACTCCTGCTTCTTCCCTGGGACCCAGAAGCTATAACGGAAAAAACTGAGAGCCTCTTCCCACCCCTCTCTGGGATGGATTTGTTCATTTTCCAGATGTCTAATCCGGCGTGGAAATGCTGACACCCCAGAAGGGCCCCGAGACACATCCCCCAACTCCGAGACTTCCACATCTACCACTCACAGTGTCTGCGGTGAGCAGGGGCAGACTTGATGCAAGTGGAACCTCAACCACCCTGCCCTTGTCCAAAGTCCTCTGCACCTGGGGCTTTGCCTGCCATGAGGACTCCATAGCTCCCAGACCTCAGAGGTTCATGGTGTAGCAGGAACCCGGGACACTGGCCACATAAAATGACCTTGACCTTTCCTTGAACCCCAAGCCTATTCCCCTCGCCCTTACTCCTCATGGAGTCAGCTTGTGTCCTGCCCCACAGGTGGCTTCTCTGAGACCTATGCCGCTCTGTGTGACTACAATGGGCTGCACTGCCGTGAGGAGGTGCAATGGGTACGTTGGGCAGGGACCCAGCAGGTGGGCAGGTGGGACCCAGAGGGAGGGAGCAGGGGAGGAGGGGGGGAGCAGGTGTGAGCCAGTTCCACCTCTCCAAGGATGTGGACACCATCTATCATGCCGAGGATAACCGCGAGTTCAATCTTTTGGATTTCAGCCACTTGGAAAGCCGGTAAGCAGACGGAGCAAAGACTTTGTCCCCACCCCCTTCCAGCCTCAGCCCCGACCCTGGCCCTTCCAGGCTCCCTCTTCTAGTCCTACCTGCAGCCCAGCTCTATCTCCCCAACTCCACTCCCCCTTGCCTTCTACCTGGCTAGACTTTCCCAGGCCAACCACCCCATCCCTAGATTCTTCTGCTCACCACTTTCGTGCCCCAGCCACCCGCTCACCACTTTCCTGCCCTTTCAATCTGCCCACAGAGACTTGGCCCTAATGGTGGCAGCCCTGGCCTACAACCAGTGGTTCACCAAACTCTACTGCAAGGATCTGCGGCTGGTAGGGACTAGGAGGGGTAGGAGGAGGGGCCAGAGAGTAGCGCCCTCTCTGGCTCCTGATCAGAAAAACCCCCTCTGTCCTTAGGGCTCTGAAGTGCTAGAACAGGTGCTACATACCCTGAGCAAGTCGGGGAGCCTCGAAGAGCTGGTGCTGGACAACGCCGGGCTTAAGACGTGAGGCCATCCTCCTCCCTGGGCAGTGGTGCCCCATTGATGTAGTCTTAGGGTGCCAGAACCTCAGAGCATGATACGGGCCTCCACGCTATCTCCTCCAGCCCCTCACTTTATAGAAAAGGAGATTTCGGCCCAAAAAGGGCACAAAGCAAGTTTATGGTCAAGCTGGGACTCAGAGCTAAGCCTCCTAGCCCCCCAGCTCCACGGCCTCTCCCAGTATGCTCCCTGCCCCATCCCCTTCTTCTATCAACTACCCAGCAGGGTGGGCTGCTCTAGTCTCAAGGACCCAAAGCTCGGCTTTGTCTTGGCACAACTTCCCAGGTCCTTCAGAGTGATGACAAGCTCCCAGGCAGGCCCCAAGCTGGTCCCCACCTGTGGGGAACTCTGACCTCTGCAGCCCCATGCAGGCAGGCAGGTGGAGGAAGAGGGGAAGCCCAGGGGCTGGGACAAACAAATCCTTCCTCCCC